TATGAATGTGTTTTCTGCAGATCTGAAAAAGGGCTATGTTATGAAGAATGTATTTCTCTGTGAAGCTTGTAGTCTAAATATTGCAGAACAAAATACTTTCCTGTCAAAAAAAGAAGTGTACTGAGGAATCGGCTTTTTTAAAAGTCCTACTGAAGAGGGGAGAAGAGCATTTGTGCATGTATCTATGTGTGGTAAGAGCGAGGAAAATTAGCGCAGAGAAAGCTGTCCAATTTAGGTTAAAATAGAGTCGATAGATGAAATCTACTGCTTACCTCTGTTGTTATTACATGATTGTATTGTCAATGATTAACAAAGGAGCCACTGTCTCTTTAAGCTATTCAGTGCTAGGAGTTCCCAAGTGGAATTTCACCTCCCGGGGTGTGTGTGTGTGTGTGTGTGTGTGTGTGTGTGTGTGTGTGTGTCCCCGTCCCCACAGATGACCAACTTAAAGGACAAAACAGTGAGGATCTAATAACATACTCATGTACATGACATTAGGCCCCAAGGGATTTCAAATGCACCCTCAGACTCTGTTGCTTAGTACGTTATTTCCAAGAAGAGCTGGTCTCCAGTCCAAACTTCCTGCACAGTAAGCAGTGAAAAAATGCACATCTCTCCAGAGAAGAATGAGTGGTTTTCAGTCCCCCCTCTTCCCACTGTCTCCCAAGGAGTGAAAGGAAAAATGGATTAAAGGTGGATTTCCCAAACTTGGAAAGCTGCTCACTCTACCACAGCTTCTGGGAAAGAAAGCATAGAGCTCTAAGTTACAGAATCCTCTGAATGTGAATGGAAGAGAAAGTCAGCCAGCAATGGAGAACTGAGCTTGGACTCTGGAGACTAGGAAAATATAGAAGCTGAGAATTGTAAATGCTGTTGGAACATCTGAGAGACCCAGATAGGGCCCTTCCCTTCCATCTATATCTCTCACCCAACCTCACTGACTCTCTTCTCAGAAAAAGGAACAGAAACACACACACTTTAAAACACAAATGAAAAAGCAGTTTTACCCTTCCTTTCACTACACCTACAAAACCCCTTTTTTTTCTCATTTCTCATATTTCCATGTTGACATTTCATTGCCTGCAAGCATTTTTAAAAGGAGAGGTTGACTGCTGGGGAGTTAATGGGTGATGGTGGTCAAAGGTAGAAAACATCTGGCCATGTAATGGTGACGATAGTTAGCAATATCATATATTGGAGAGTTGTCAAGAAAACAGACCTTAAAAGTTTTCATCACAAAGGAAGAAAAGTGTAACTATGCAAGATAATGGATGTTAATTAGAGTTATTATGGTGATCATTTCACAATATATACATATATCATTATATTGTACATTAAATGGATATGATGTTATATGCCAATTATATCTCCCGTAGAAGTGGGAACATTTTAAAAATTAAAGTAGTCCATCAGGTCACTTGCTGTCACTTTGTTTTTAAGTCATGACCCCTTTAGTTGTAATAACTGAGTGACAGCCTTAATCAAATGTTTATGGCTGGTTAATGCCATAAAAGTTTCAAGCCAAAATGGAAAATGATTCTTACTCTGCCTTGCTTGAGCAGTTTCCTTAGCTTCCCCATCATGCTAACTCTTTAAAAAAAAAGAAAAAGAAAATTCTTCTTGCACATACACAGAACCAAATCAAACTGACCAGTATAAAGGAACACCTAAGTAAAGTGTCCCTCACCCACTTATCTCTCATTCCCAGTTTTCTGGGGCCAGTTGCAACTGGTGGCCAGCTGGAATCCTGGGTGGAAGTAAATTAACTGGAAATGTCAAGTCACTGTTGCAGTCAACTGGAAAAAAGGAACGAAGCCAGTGCAGAATGGCCCATGAGCCCAGCTCTGGCTGCTGCCCACACAACTCAGAGCACTTTAGCAGAAGCATGAAGACCCTGTTTGCTCTCCATATAATCACCTGTAGGGCACAGGCCAGCCCACCAACTTCCACTTCACAGGTGTTCTCAATGTAAAGGTGAAGAGCTCAGAAGGAATGCTTCCAAAAAGAATTGGAAGAGGTGTCTTTCCACATTTCTAACTTGGAATAAATACTGTAACCCTATTTGCTTCTTGAGAGAAAGCTTCAGTCTTGGTTCCAAGTTTCTATGGTTGATTCTACTATATTACTACTACTACTACTACCAACAATATTAATAATAGTTGTTATTATATTCTAAGAATAGCATTTCTAATTATCTTGTGAATTTTTGTTTTCTTAGGAAGAAGGAATAAGTAAAAAGTTGCTTGGCTTTTCAAGGCAGAAAAGGTTAAAAAGTAGTAATGAAGTAGGTAAGACACTTTCATTTGTTGCATATCAGCAAATAATAAAGTGAAGTTTTTAACAGACTTTCACAGTGCCCCCTCCCTAGATCCTTTCATAAAAAAAAAAGAAAGAAAGGAGAAAAGGAGGGATGAAGAGAAAGAAGGAAGAAAAGAAGAAGGGAGGGAGGCAGGGAGGGAGGGAAGGAAGGAGGAAGGAAGGAAATTCTTATTATTTATAACAAAGGCTCAAATTATATTACCCCAGCACAACAAAAACTCTTTTGAAATAGCTACCTCTCTATAGGAGACACACCTCAATCTTGCTAAGAATGCAGAAATTCAGAAGTTTAAAACTTATTGGGAACTTCACAGAGAAACTAGAGAAAAGAAATAGGGCGATTTGCATCCTTTCTTTCCATTACACCATGCCATCAGGAATATATTCTATAATAATTTCCTTCAGGCAATCTCATTCCCAGTTTTCACAGTTTCCCCCCCCCCCAAGGGAACAAAACAGACCCACACTTTCTTTACCTAAGGCTAGCCTGAAGAATCCACTGAATTCTATTGATTTTTCTCTTTGAACACAAGCTCATTAACCTGAAACACTAAGGGGATAACTATATTTCATCAAGCCTATAACTGAGTGTCTGAAAACAAAAAGATCCCAAGATAGTGATACAGCCCTCTCCCTAGGTAGGATGCCTTCCCACCCACCCACCCCCTGCAAATTTAGCTGCAGAAGCTGTGACTTTGATTCCATAACCCTAAAGACTTTTGCGTCCATTAGAAAACGCTTTCTTTAAATTCATCCTTCTCTATTGTAATGGTCAGCAAAATCAAGGTTCTGTCTTTCCACCAACATCTACATTCTTACAAGCTTCAGGGGGTGGCTAAACGTTAGCATCAAACAGTAGTGCTGCAGTGCCAGGAATCTCCTCTGCCTCCTCTCAGCTAATGGAGCCAGGGCTCCACTAAGGAGCTATCTTGGATATATGGAAATGAGGCCTTCCTCAAACCCTCCAGGGACTTCTTTGAGAAGGAAAAAAAGCAATCAGGAAAAAATTAGACAACACAGACATCAGAAGCAGCCTGTTAGACAAGTCTGTTCAAGAAGCCCCATGAGTGGAGCTACATTTCTTTTATCTTCCTAATCCAAGAGAATGAGAGCTGTGACCCCCTCTTGAATGAATGAATGAATGAATGAATGAATGAATGAATAAACGGCAGCTATTTTACCCAAGGAACCAATATTAATAATTTTGTGGTCTTGACTTTTGAGATCTCTGGCGAGATCAAATGATCTGTACCCTTCCATTCAAGGCAACAGACATCTTCAAATTGTTTTTTTTTTTAATTTGATTTATCCTTTGAAACAGAAAGTGCATTACATTTAACTGGTCTTGCAAAGGGGGTTCTCTTCTCTTTACAAACCGAATTCCTTATATAAATTAATAAAGGTTAAAGATGCTAATATATCACCATTATTAGCTTAAAAAAGAAAACAATATACATAGTCTATAGTATTCTTATGGTACAAAACACTTCAAATTCAATTACAGCAACTAAATGGATTTTTATGTTTCTGACCCGGAGCAGTTGTAACGATTCCCACCATCTACTTTAACACGCAATCTTATCCGAAAGGAATTAAATTAAATACAAGCTATTGTAGCCCCTCCCTCCCCAATACTTCTCTTTAAATCACTAATAAATAGCAACAAACGACTGTGCAATTTCAGAGAGGAACGGAGAGGCAGGTCTGAGGCCTTCCCTGGTTCCACGTCTTCTACTTCAAGTCCTGGAGGCGGGAGCGGGGCGCGGAGCCAGGGGGGTGGTCAGGGACGAGCAAGAAGGGACAAAGGGAAAAGTGAGATTGAACAAATCCAAACCCGAGAGAGGAGCGAGGGGGTGGGGTGGAGGGTGGTGGTGGAGAACATTCTTGCCTCGCTTCTCAAATTAAGATCAAAACACAAGGGAAACGTGTGGCTTGAGTAGCTCTTAAAAGGAGGCAGGGTGCAGGAAGAAGGAGGGCCATCTTTTTATACCAAATTCAAAAAAGCATTTTACATTTTAAATATTCACAATAAAGTAACTTCTAGTCAGTGTGACTCACGATTTATTTACAAAGAGCCTTCAACAGGTTGCTTTAGTCGGCACAGCAGTGTGTGGGGGTGGGAGCCTCCCTCTCTGCTCCCCTCCGCGGCGGCCGCCCGCCCGCGCGGCCCCGAGGTCCCTGCGGTGGGCGTGGAGCCTTCGGGAACAGCTCTCCGCCCCCGCCCCGGCCGCCGCGGGGGGCACGGGCGGGAGGCGGCGGTGCGGGCCGGTGCGGGCCGGTGCGGGGCCGGTGCGGGGCCGGCCGCAGCTCCCGCGGGGGACGGGTCTAGGGCGCCGAGCGGGGCCGGGGGGCGGCCGGCTGCGGGGGCAGGTGCCTTAGAACGCAGTGCGGTGCGTGGTCTTCTCTGCCTTCGGATCAACCCCCGAGCCTCTCTCCCTCTCTCCCTCTCCCTCTCCCTCTCCCTCTCTCTCTCTCTCTCTCTCCCTCCCTCCCTCTCTCTCTCCCCCGCCCCCCCTCAATTTCCAGGTTAAAAAAATAGACATGTACATCTCAGAAAATAGCAAAGGGCCCGGGCAGGCGGGGCCGGGTGGTCCGGGCCCGGAGCGCGGGGAGGCGCGGCGCGCGGTCCCGGTCCCGGGGCGGAGGCCGGAGCCCCCGCAGGTGCCGCGGGCGGCCGGCGCTCAGGACGAGCTCTCGTTCTCGGACGCGTGCAGCAGGAGGCCGCCGCCGCCGCCCGACTTGTGCTTCTTCAGCAGCTGCGTGATCTTCTCGTCGTCCGAGTTGGGGTCCAGGGGCTTGTTGTAGTCGTCGTCCTCCTCCTCGTTCTCCGAGGCCCCCTTGAGCCGCTCGGTCTCCGAATCCTGCTTCTTCTTGGCCGTGGCCATCTCGGCCGCGTGCTTCTTCCTCCACTTGGTCCGGCGGTTCTGGAACCAGACCTGAGGACCAAGAGAGGGGAGGGGAGCGGAGACGCGGCGGCCGGAATTGAGGGCGGGCGGATCCGGGCGCGGCCGCCTCTCCCGCGCCCCCGGGTCGCGCCCCCAGGCCGCCCCCAGCCGGCCTGCCACCCTCCCTCGGAGACCTCCCCGGCCGGGGCCGTCAATGTCAGTCCCCAACGCCCCGGCTCCCTCCCAGGATCCGGCACCGACCGACCGGCTGCCGTTGCCATAGCGATGGTAACACAGGAGTACAGACGGTGTCGGGGAGCTCGCTCAGAAGAGGGAAAACTCGGGAACTGAAGTTTCCCTAAAAAACGAGTCCGCCTTCCTACTTCGTAGTTTGAAGTAGAAGAGTTCTCGCCTTCCTGAGTTTGCTTCACAATGCCTGTGATTTCATTTGTTGTGTACTTTCTTAGATGAATACTTTCAAACAACTTGAAGCGTTCTTGCTTTTCAGTGTGATTTGTGGGAGAAAGCACAGCATTTACCCCAATTCCTCTGTTCTCCTTTTCAATTTTGGATGTTGGTCCCTTTCACCTATCTCAAGTCTGAATCCACACAAACACGGTAGGTAAACACTCTCCTCCCCATTTACATTCGCAATGTACCACATCAAGTTAAAAAAAAGGGGGGAGGGATTTGCTAAAACAGAAACCTCAAATCGCTAATAATAATCAACATAAATGCTTGAAAATATTGAATAGGTAGGTTAGCTAAAATCATCACAGTAGTTTGTGTGTGAGTCTCTCTCTGTGGCTTAATGTTTTTCATAAAACCAAATCAAGCTGAAATTTTCATTAGGTTTTTTAAGTGAAATGTTGCCAATTAAATTATTTCCCACTGTTAGCATCACTACCCTTTCAAATATTATTTTAATATTGTTCTTCTCCAAGACATTTATTTTATATAACAAATATTTTAGCTATTCACGGTGTTTGACACCGTGTGTGATACACATAATTTAACCTAAAGCATCAGCAATAAGCAACCAATTTCCCAAAGATATTATCCTCTTTTTATGCTTCTCATCCATTTTCTCATCTGTTATGTATTTTATCTAGAGAATCAGAATTGTTAAGAAAGTGATTTTTATTTTCCTTATACAGCTATAATAATTCACTTCTAGCCACACAGACATATTTACGGTGACAAATGAACACTTCCAGATTACTGCGGTAGGCTCTGTACCAACCATTGCAAAAATAATTTTTTACTGTGATGGTATTCTAATGGTCACATACAAAATCACTTCTGAAATGCATTTTATGATGCTTGCCCCAGGGGAAATACACTCTAACCAGCAGACGTGGCTAACAGTTATTCCTACTTAATTTAAGGAGCAACAAAATTACTAATGAAAACAGACTTACACTCCTCCCTCTCCCCCCCCAAAAAAACCACCCAAATATAATAAACTGAAGAAGAAACTCAAAAGAGAATACTGGAAATATAGGAAACCACTTTAATTTACCTAGCTGGTTCAACCTTTTTATTTTTCAGGGAAAGACTTCTCAAATTTGATTCCCTGAAAATATACTGTACAACTCAATTATAAGCTAAGTGACATTTTAATTATAAATTGTCACAAACAGTAAATATCGTACTTCTGTTTATAAACTTAGACAGGATTCTTTCATAATACAGTAATAATCTTGTCAAATCGTTTGGAAAATTGCTATTCCAAAGTGATGATCCTCAGCTAAACTAAAAGCAGATTCATCCCTGTACAGGGTTGGACCTTGCCGATTTTTTTTAACCTGCAAGTTAACATAGTAGCTAGCACTATAAGGCTGATCTACATCAGGAAATTATATAACTAACGGAGCCGGAATTGACAAACAAAAGCTTGAATAAACCTTACAAATAGAATAAATAGAAGCTATCTAACTGGCCTGATCTCCACTCTGGGCTGATATTTCGGTAATGCTTTTATTCTCCAATAATGGCGAGCTCCCCCAGCACATGCTGCTATCTAGATTAACCTAATTTCAAAGGCGGGGGCTTGATTCCTTTTGTTCATCAACAGTTTGCCCGCCTCAAGACCCCAGGGCCTTTGTAACCCCCACTCCCACCCCTTTCGCTGATTTCATCTTCTCCCCAGGCTCCTCAGATCCGCACCCCCGAGCGGCTGTTTGTTAGAGGGGGGTGCGCGCGCGCGCACGTGTGTGAGTGTGTGTGCGCGTGTGCGCGCGTGCTGGGGCTTGGGAGACCGTCCCTCGAGGTTTGCAAGGTCTGCTCACCTTGACCTGACTCTCCGTCATCCCCAGCGAATAGGCCAAGCGAGCCCTCTCGGGACCCGCCAAGTATTTCGTTTGTTCGAAAGTCTTCTCCAGAGCGAAGATCTGCTGGCCCGAAAACGTGGGTCTCGTGTGTTTTCTCTTCCCGTCTTTGTCCAACAAAATGGATCCTTGATCTGCGAGAACAGACAAACAAGGGAAGTGGGAAAACAATCCGTTACAAGCGGCGCTACTGAAAAGAAACGAATTCAAAAAACAGTGTTTTTTGGACAGCTTGTACCGTGGCAGACAGCAGAATTGTCTGGCGCCTCCAGTCCCACCGCGCGCCTTGGCCTTCTTACGCCCACCTGTTTTAAGAAGCGCGGTGTGTTTGGAGCAGCAGTAAATAACCTTCTGTTGAACCCAGACGTCAAACAGTGAGGCCGCGCATTGCTGAAGTTTTCCGGAGCGGAATCGCCAGGCCCCAGTAAATTGAGGAACGCGGGGAGAAGGCCCCTCTCGCCTCCCAGCCTGGTAGTGCTCGCTGGGCCTCGGAGACTTTGCATGAGGATGACTAATTTTCCCTTTCTCTTCTCTTTTTTCTTTTCTTTTCTTTTTTCTTTTTCTCCTTGAACGCTTTCCTAACCTGTGCCTGCACAACAAAGGACGCCTTGTTTTTTGCACACAAGAGAGCTAACTCGCCCCCCAAGTCTAAAGCCGCTGCGGCCGAGGGGGGGGGGGTGCCGCCTTTGTTGGCGGTCCCTATAGGGCCATCAGAACTAATACAATAGCGTCTCCCCGACACCCTCACCAGCCTGGGCCGCCCTCGGTCCCCAGGCTTCCCAAGGGAGCCTCCCCTTGGCTCCCGCAACCTCCCTTAGTTACACGGAAGAGGTGTAACTCTTTCTCTTTCCATCAAGTGGAAACTTGCGGGACTCGGTCAAGAGCAAAGAAGAGAGCAAGAAAAAGACCCGGACAGGGTCTCGAACTCCACCTGGAAGGCTAGGAGCCTCTGCGGAGGTGGCCAACCACCCAGAAGATTGGAATGATCGCCGGTTAACTCGGTTATAAGCAAGGTCGTGGTGGGATGTGCACATTCCCCAGCCCTTCTGCCGCGACCTCGTTTTTCCTCTGGTTCGTTTTCTTGTTAGGATGTTGAAGGCCACGATGCCTCTCAGTATTCCCAGGCCCAAGACGTCCCGGCCCTTCGCCACCCACACACCCCCTCCCCTCCCGGGGCCAAGGCAGGTGGGAAAGCGAGAGCCGGGCCGAGGGGAGTGGCCCGAGTGACTGAGCTCGCTCCAGCTCCTGCCGCGGGCCTGGAGTCTACGGGCTCACTCGGCCCGAAAGTACTGGGGTGGGGGTGGGGGGGGGTGGGGTGGGGGAGCTCCTCGAAGGCGAAGAGGTTAGGTGGGGACTCCCGGGGCCGAGACGTACGTGCAAATATACGCGCTCGCTCGGGGCTGTGGGGGGCTTGCTGCTGTCGTTCCCCGCCCCCCACCGCGGTTCGCAGAGAGGCCAGGTAGGCCGGCGTAGGTGCAGTGGAGCCCTAGCCGACTACAGGCGGGAGCCGGGAAAGAAGAGGCGGCGGCGGGGGCGCAGTGGCCTCACCTGCCCTTCCCACGTCTTTAACCCAGGCAGGGCCTGAGGTTGCCGTCAGGCTGTTCCAGAGCAGCCGGGGCCTCGGATGGGACCCACGCCCGGCACCGCGTTGTTTTCAACGCGAAATGTTTTCATGCACACCCGCTCCTCGAGGCGTGCCCGAGACTTGGAGAGAGGGGGCGCTTGGACGCAGGCTCAGGGAAGCCAGAGTCCCTCAACGAAAACGCTGGCAGAGCCTACATCGTGCGACTCTGGCGCTGCCAAACTACTGGGGAGCCGAGAGGGTGCACGGATCCCCGTGCACAACAGGGGCCATGACCCGAGAGTGAGCAGGACGCGCACAACTGGACTCGGGGCGACCATACTCACGAGGGGTGCAGGCCAGGCGGGCGTCCCTCCAGGGCGGGCTCTGCATAACTCCTGGCCAGAAGATGGGCGTCCGGCCGGGCAGTTCAGCCAGCGGCTTGGGGTACCGACCTACGGCGGCCACGGCCGCTGCGCTGGGGCTGAAGTAGAGCCCAGGCGGCGGCGGCGGCGGACTCAGGCTGCTGAAGCGGGGCAGGCCCGCGAGCAGCCCCGCTGGGGAGGAGGCGGCGGCTGCAGCGGCCGCGGCCGCCGCGGCGGCTGCGGAAGCGGAGGAAGCGGAGGTGGACGAGGAGGAGGAGGAGGAGGAGGACCCGGAGGGCGAGGCGGAGGGCAGGGCGGCCCCTGAGGCCACGGGCATGGAGGGCCGGCTCAGGATGTCGTTGATGCCGTGGGGGGTGGCGGCTGAGAGCTGCTGTGGGGGGCTGCCCAGGGACGAGAGCCCCCCCGCGGTCGGGGGCTTCAGGCTGCCTGGGTTGTGGGCGCCCAAAGGCGGGGAGGGCGACGACGAAGAGGACGAGGAGGACGAGGAGGAGGGGGGGCCGGCGGGCAACGGGGGGTACGCCGCGGGGTACAGCGGGGTCTTCATTTCGGCCATGCTGTGCAGGGCGGCCAGAGGCGGGCTGCTGAGCAGGAATGCGCTCTGCCGGGTGCCCTCCATCGCCCCCACCGCTAACATCCCACGGCCAGGCCGGAGCCCGCAGCCACTCCGAGGGGGCGCCGGCCGGTGCCCCGGCGGGGCTCGGGAGAGCGGGGAGTGCCGAGGGCGCGAGCGAGCCGCCGCTCCGCGCTCCCGGGGGCGACCTGCCAACTGGGCCGAGGACGCCGCGGCCGAGAGGTGCTCTCGAAGCTGCGCAGCAGAAATGTCCAAAGGCGCCGCTCGAGAGGCTGGAGAGGCTGGAGGGGCTGGAGGGGCTGGAGAGGCGGCGGCTCGCCGATCAGCGGGCGTCCGGGCGGTTCGGCTGTCCTTTCGCTCCTGGTCGTGGATTCAGTCTCAGTTTCTTCTCTTCCTCACTCTTCCTCGCCTCTCAGTGTGCGCTGCCTCTCATCTTCTCTGCCCCCTCCCCGAGAAATAAGCAAAGCACAACCCAGGCCGGCCCCAGAGTTTGCAACAAAGTTAAGAGCCACTGGGTCTCCACTTTGATGTCGGAGTGTGGGGACTGGCTCGCTCTCTTTGGGGAGGCTCAAAGGACTCCCGGCTCCGCTGGACGCGCTCCTCCAATCTCACCCGGCTGCTCTGTTCTTTCTCCGCGAGGCTGATTCGCACTCGGCGCTCCCCGCTCGCGAAGAGAGAGCGCATCCAGCCCGCGGGAGGATCTCGCCTCTGGGCGGCCTCTTCCTCCGCCGGCTCGGCCCGGGGCTGGTGCGCCAGGAAGGGCAGTGCCACCAATCCCCGCCGCGACCGGACTCGGCGCGCCAACCCGCTTTCCCCTCTGGGCCACGGGGCACCGGAGTTGCAATATTGAAAAAGAAAAAGAGGGAGGGGGAAAAAAAAAAAAAGAAAGAAACCCACAGAAAAAACAAAGACTAAGTGTGCAAAGTCCGAAGGCTCGGTTCGTCGGTCCACCTCTGTAGACGGGCCTGGAGACCCCCGCCCCACCCCCCAGCACCCTCTCCTCTTCTCACTCTCCGCCTTTGCCTCTCCTCTCTCGCATTTTCTTCGCAGCTTTACAGTCAGTCTTCGTTCTCCTAAGCCCTGTCCTCTGGCCAAGCTGACCCTCTCCGGCTCTTCCACTCCCTCCCTCTCTCCTCTCCGCGCTCCTCTCTCCCTCCGGGCCTGACAGTTCAGATGAAGCTCTCAAAGGTAATAAAACATTTGCATCACTCCCTACCCCTCTTTAGCTGGGGGACGAAAAGGAGGGGGAGGTGGGGGTCCAAAATGAGAACTTTGAGGGACGTCACTGGAGGCGGCCGGCGGGCGGAGCCGAGGAGGGTGCAGGCTGGGGGCGTAACCACCGTCTCCAATTGCGCGCAGCCTGGGGCCTCGCGTCGCCTCTGGGGCGCGCCCTCCCCGGAGCGCCGCGCCCGCTGATTGGCTGAGCAGGGCGAGCCGTGGGGCCGCGCCCGCTGGGCTCCCGCCCCCTCCCGCCTCGGCCCCTCCTGTGGGTGGGACCAGGGGGCGGGGCCTGGCGAGCGGTGCGGTTCCGCCTTGGGGCCAGGGGACGCCTCAATTAATTGTGTTAAATAAAATGGAAAAGTGGAGGGGGGAGCGGAGACGGAGAGGGTATTACTTTTTAAAGAGAAGAATAATGAAAACCCAGCCCTTTTATGGAAAAGCAGTTCATATTCTTCCCTCGCCTCCCCCCTCGCCTGCTCGCCTCACCCTGCCCACCCCCCTTGCCCCTGCGAGCTCGCGACGCCTCACCTCGAACAGTCTGGTCCCTTGTAAAATGGAGCTAATGGAGCGGGCAGCCGGCGCAGCCCTGGCCTAGCTCCTTCTTTTGAAGGGATTAATTAAAGGCCATCTGGGCTCTCCCAGAATTGTGTAAATTAATTTGTTGCTCCTTAAGCCTATAGATGTCCTTAATCCCTTAGTAGGCCGAAGGATCGTCCTCTTCCATTTTTGCCACCTCCCCCTTTCCCTCTCTGTTCTTTCTTCGTTACTTTTCTTTTCATTCCCAGGTTCCTCCGCAATGTTGCCATTTATAGGATTACTCAATACACAGACAACGGAATCAGCTTAATGGGAATATTTGTTTTCCGTGTGATGTTTAGACCTGAGCGGAATGAACTTTTTTTTTTTTTTTTTGGCTTTTCATTCCTCTGATTATTGTTGTTGTTTGTTCTGAGTTTGCGCGGGAGCAGAATCACCAAAATTGGCGTCTGTGTACAGAAGTATCTGGGTACCCGGCTCCCCCAGGGGACTGTACGTTTTTGAAAACTGCCTCGGAAACTCTGTCCCCTTGCCTTCAACTCCAGGGTTGTTTGGAGAGATGGAGATGTCCAGGCTTCTGGGCTGTGGTGATGGGATGTCTAAGATTTGGAGAGTGATTTGCTTTATTCTTTTTGTATCTTCCATCCCTGGTCCCTTGTAAAAAGATCTTGAAATCGCTGGCAGGGGGGCTGAGCCCTGCAAGTGAGGAGGAAGACCTTTGCACAATTTTGAGAGTTCAGGATGTTGAAGTAACATACCAGTGAGGGGTAGTCACTAGAGCAATTTGGGGGAGATCATTAAGTCCAAACTTAATTCTCAGCAAATAGAAATTAATAGCTCAAGAGTAAAATCTGAGCGGTACCACCCATGGACGGAGTTTGGCTGAGGGCTAAAGCACTCATGTGGGTCCAAGCACCCAAAGCCAGGAGGGCTTATGCTGCTTTGATAGCCCTCCTTTCTAAAGCTTTGGTCTTTTCAAGGTGGCAGCTTGAACTTGAGTTAGTTTTTAAATGTTTTTGTTTATCCTTTGCCATTTTTAGTATTCATTTCTGAGATAAAAGCAATTTTGTTTTTATTTGGTCCCCCCTTTCCCTCTCCACCCTCCGCCCTTAACTTCGAGCCTGGGCTAAATCGATCACTTCTCAGACCTTAGACCCTGGCCTGAAACAAGGTGAATTCCTTCCTCCACCTGAATTATGCTGAGTCGGACAAGAAAAGAGGTCCTGCGGGGACCGTGTGCATTTCCCCGGGAAGATGCCCTGCTGGCCTGGGGTCTAAACTCCAGCGCCCCGCCTTTTCGGCCAAAAGACTGCGTCAGAAGGATGAGGCGGAGAGGCCGGCGGGTCGGAATTGTTGGGGCCCCTCTGCCTCTCGCTTCGTTACAAACGAAACTTTTCCTTACCTCAGCGGACTACCACTTGACAGTGGCACACAGTCTCCCTCCTGAACCCCTCATCTGGGCCACCCGCGACCTCTTCATGTCCCCCCCCCAGGACCTCACGTTCTCAAGAACGAAGTAGGAATGGGGGGGGGGAGTGACTAGTGATCCCCAAAGATTCCAATTTCCAAAAGCGATCCCTCCTTTATTTCATGTAAATATTGTGCCCCGGGAAAGAATTGGATAGTCTCCTTTTGTAAATTCAATATCTGATATGGGGAGAAGTGAGGTAAAGAGACAGAGAAATATGAGAGAGACATTCAACTCGATCCAACCAACTCCGGCTTAACTGACATTAGCTAGTAGCTGCAAAGCTGGGGGTGCAAGGCGTCCCCATCGTTTGCTTTTTATTTATCAATCACATTGAGGAATTCAAATAGCAGCATTTTTTCTTGTGACAATAAAACAATTCTGGAGTCTGTGTACCTCGATCCCCGGGGTAGGGGTGAACCCTGGGTGCCTGAATCCCGCGTGGGCCCGCTTGTGTTCCAGACACACACTGCGCTGCGCTGAAGGAAGGCGGTGCCTCCTGCCTGGTGCTGGTTGTCACCGATCTGCTCTGCTCTGTCTGTCTCCAGCTGGGAGCGGGAAGAGCTAGGGGCGTCTTCCGAGGGGTGTGGGCTGCTCCTGTCACTCGCAGGGAGAGATGGCCCTGCCCCTGCAGAACTATTCCCACATTGGGGGGCCGAGTCTTGGAAGAGCAGATCCCCACGCTGACCAGGGAGGCCTGTTTCTGTCCGGGGCGTCTTACGCGCGGCTTGCAGACGCCCTACAGAGCCCGGACTTTCCCCTGGGGAATCTCCAGGACCCTCACGCCTCTCTGCCCACGACCCAATAAAGTCGGACATTTCTAAGTCCGACTAGGAGTAGACTCTAGGAGTAGAACGCGTAACACGTGGTCGCGACGCCCCCTCGCATCTCGGCACTATATACATATATATATATATATATGGAGGGGCTGTGTTTGCAAGTGAACGATTTGCATTTTAATTGAAAAATAAATGAAAGAGTGTTGGCAAATTCTGAGGTTGCAAAAAACAGCTAAAATGATACGGATGTAGAAGGCAACACGCCTCCCTTGACTTTCTTGAGCCCGTGAATAAACGAATCCGTTTTCCAGTTACTGTCGTTAGCCTGCTTCTACGGTTAAGCCGCCCGTGCGATCCACTTGACCACCCTACCCTCCGCGTAACCCTGGACTCTGAACCTCCTGGCGCGTTCCGGTACTTCTGCTTTAAGTTAAAGGAACAGCCAGTGCATTCAGGGTAACTCGCAGAAGGAATGCAAATGAAATCTCAGCTAAATGTGCTTAAATTCAGCAGTGGGGAATGAATAACTATTCTTGCCCCAAATACATTAACGTCAAATGGCAGCATACTCAAGTGCGACCGCAAGAAGCCTATTCTACACTCGCAACAGGCCGGGGACACGGGCAGGGGTGGCGGTAGGAAGGGAATTAGGTGTGTGTCTCAGGCCATAAGCCTCTCCGGTATGGGTTTGCTTGAATTACCTGGATAACATCTTTAACGACCCCACTTGCCAGAGAGCGGGGCCTGTACGGGCTGAACCCCAGGCCCGCTGGGTTTCTGTGAGTGTTGTAAGAGGGGTCGAGCAAGCCCGAGGGAGGAAGGAGAATGGCCCCCAGCTTGAAACAGGCCAGTCCCGGAGGAGAGCAGGGGAGACGGGGAGACGCGCTGCTTCTCTGTCTGTCCCTCTCTTTGCCTCCTGCAAACGCTGAGTGGAAACTGGACCCTTGGCTGCTTCTGCTGACCAGCAGTTAAGGGGGCGGATTTGGGGGAGTGTTGGAGTCGAAAAGGGCCAACAAATGCCCGGTGATGGAGAGGGCTGTAGGATCCTGCGGTCCAAG